TAAACATATGTGTTATGAAATTGAAAAATTGAATAATGGAAATGATGTCACATTTCATGATGTACTTAAGTAAGTATAAAAATTAATTTTCATTTTTATATGTAAAATGACTGTACCTATGAACACTAGAATAGAAATTATTCTGTTAGTGGATAAATTTGAATCATCGAAGATTGTGAAACAAAAGATGCACGTAAAATTGGAGAAAGAAATGTTAAATAAACATTGAACTAAGTAATTCTCTCAATGACGTCTTGTACTAATGACATAAAAAAGCATTGTTGAAGTTTATGTTGATAGTGAAAATCTATCGACATCAAGTATTATACCTGATTGCAAAGTTTGTTCAATAGCATATTGAACCCTGACAGAGTTGAATAAATAATTCAACAACCTGAGATTTTCTCCAATGTTGACGACTAAATACACCAATGTCAAACTTTCATTTTTCCTTTCATGATAGATTTAAAGAATAGGTTCTATTCAATGAGTTCTATGTTCGTATTTCTTAGCATCATTCGAATTTTTTCTATGGAAATACCGACAATACGATATCTAATCTCACAACTTGCGACGTGTAGTAGTGCTGCCGATCAGAAAAAAATCGCAACTTGCGTAACAAAAACCATGTATTTGAAGAAACATGTGATTTTCTTCAGTCTTGAAAATGTTTAATAGGCATGTAATTTTAGTTGTCGACCATCAAAACATTTGCACATTTTACTTAATGTAGCTTTGCTTTTTCATACTGTTCTTCTTCATTTATGATGAAGGATTTCTACTTCAAGTCATTGCCAATGTATGATCCAATATATATTTGTACAAAACTGAATGTTTCGTCAAAAACGTTTTTAGAAGACTTTTGGAACACTCTATATATTTCCTTATTGCACTTCTGGAAGATTAAGTAAAAGGATGATACAGAAATGTAGCTCATAATAAATAAAATAAGTTAATCATCCAAAGATTAGTAACCATAACTACATCCTGCTTGTCATTTTAATCTCGTAGGGATTTTGCTAACAAATGTTTGTTTTTCTTTGAATAGTATGTTAGCTTATCGTTCGGTTGATATACGTAAATCATTACAATTCGAAGAACTACTTGCGCGCGAAGAACTTGAATATTTAATTGAAGAAGAAGTAGCAAAATTAACTATACGTAATTGGCTTAATAAATGTTTAAAACGCATTAAAGCAAAAGATCAAACAAATGTTATTAAAAATTTACAACGTAGTAATGAATTAGCATTCTTTCGTGAAGCACAAGCAATAACAACAAGTGAATCATTAAAAAGAACAACAGATAATGTGGGCCATGAAGAAGAACGACGAGTGAAAAGTCTTGATGATCGACAACAGCAAATACAAAAAGATGTTATCAAAAAGAAACTTGATAGAACAACTACATTACCAACACCTTCGAACGATTTCAATGTAGAATATCTATTTATTCCCTTTTTATTCAATATCGTTTTGTTTTTTCTTAGAATTCAAACTATCGAACACAAGCAGGTATACGTGATACATCTGTTGAATATAAAGGAGCACGACGACCCGTTACACAACAATTACAACAAAATGCTAGTTTGACTTTAAGTAGTGAGGAGTCTTATCCATGGCGTTCATGGCAAACAAGTAATTTTAATTATGGACGAAAAGATGTTGAATCATGGTGGGCTAATCAATTTCAAATGTCAACTTAAAGCAACAAATAAATGTCAATCAATGTATAACTTCGAATAGATTATATTCAAAATATTGCGGTGCTTGATGTGCTCTTGGGTTGTCTTGTATATTATATGGATTCGTATTCTTGTAGTCTTTGTTTTTATTTCCGATGTTTCTTTTCGGTTGAAAACACATCTATTCTATTTTTTTTATAAAAACAAAAGATAAATATTGTATGAATTAGACATGACACGCTATTGAATATAAAATAAATTGGTAAATTTCTATCTAGATCGTGAATGTAATACAAATTTAAACATGACTATATAGTTTTTTTCAAAATGAAATCTCAAGAAAATAAAAGTATATTTATATTGATGTAGCGAAATTATAACATTCGTTTACATGTAAAAGTATATAAAGAGTAAATTTATTGTTTGCAAAATAATCTATTGATTAAGTATGAAACGAGAATAAATAATAAATTATTTCTTACTCTTTCAATTGAAAGGAAGTAACACCAGTCATAATTCTAGATTGTTACTGATCGGATATGATGGTTTGTTCAATCTTAGAAAAAGAAAAAGTAAACTACATGAACCAATGATTATTTTTAATGTTAGAGTTCCGTTATTTTCTTGAGTCGATGCTATCAGAAGGTAAGAATAGGTCTGAAGTTTTTTCAATATCGAACACAATCAGTGACAGAATGTATGATTCTTTAGAATTGCTACTGTTATTACCCACATAATCTTCTTTTATATTTCCAAACAGCAATTAATTATCGTAACAGCAATATCGATTTATAGGATTTAACCACAAAATATTATTCTAGCCCTGATGTCAATTGATATATTATTTTTGTTCTGTTATTTTCATAGATTCTAAAACATATTCATTCAGAATAAGGCATTTTTCACCTGAAGATCTACAGATAGACAATATGAAGAACTATTACACGCCTACAAAGTGTTAGCATCTTTTAACAGGATATTCTTCATCGGAAATATTTTAAAATCGGGAAACTATAATTATTCCAAACATGATTTACGTTTTAATAAATATGATAATTTTCTCATTGTTAAAAAGAAGAGGAAAAGATTGAAATACTCCTTCACTTTTTTATTTCAAAAACAGAAATACTAATACTATCATGTTGGATATCATTATGTACAGAAAATCTCGAGTGTAGAAAATAATGAATAGTTTCGTCACTCTTCAGAAGTCTATAAAAGAAACATGAAGAACAAACAAAAATTACTCTTAATTTTGCATTTCATTTTCATATATACATATCTATTAAGATTCAAATGTTCGTCATTTAATAAAAAGAACTAATAGCATGATATTTCGCTCTCTTTGGAACATTTTCGATTTTTGACAATGATATCATCAATGTATTTGAAACTTTTACCACAGATATATACAGCGAAGAGGATGGAGGAACGTGTTCAAGAAGAAATTTTTGAAGAATCGTTTCGCGTTTTTTTATCAAGAAAACTCTCATTTTCTATACGACCGAACCTTGCCAGATTGCAAGTTCCTTTCGAACTGTATTCGCTATGGTTGAACATGTTTATCACAGAAACTTGAAAATATTTTCTTCAGATAAAATCGAATATGTTTTTTTTTTGATTTTCGTAGAAACCCAGGATTTTCTCGAAAAAATCGAGAAAACTTTCTTTAAGACTTGTTAGTTATTTCTATATTCACGATACTCTGTTTGTGGTAAAAAATTCGTGTTGATTACCTATAACTTTTTGAGAAACAAAAATGATCAAAAAAAGGAGTACACTTAGTGAAAACGCGAGACAAAAAAATCAATTATTTTCTACTTTGATTCTGAGAATGGCACTTTTTTTGTAAATGTAAGATTTTATTAACACTTTACATCTAAACAAATTTTATCTGAATTTTATCTGAAACAAATGTTTTTCATGAGTGAGAGAACAATTGAATTCTAAGTATTATTATCTCTCAAAGATAATAGCTAACAAGCGGGAAAACATTATTCACCACCGAGTTCCACGGATACTAATTCTATTGTATCACGCTAAATAATCATATTTGTAAATCTCTCTGTAAAAACACTATTAAGTACGTATGGCTCTACAGGTATGTGACACTACTATTATGGTATTTGAACCGTACTTCAATGCAACTAAAGCCATATTAAATCCCGAGTACTTTCCATAATTTCTAATTTTCTATCGATTGAAAAGGAATGACAACTACAACTCACTTCTCTAAATGCAAAAAGAGTCCTATAAATTACTTCTCTCTAGGCCAATGTTACAATTAAATATTTTATAAAGTACAAAAATTAACACAATAAACTTTTTGATTTCGAAAATTACCATTCAGTACTTTCAAGAAGATTGAAAGTCGTTCGAATTTCTTTCTGAAGGCTCAAAAGTACAACAAAGTATTTTTAAAAAGTGTAAAAATTAGAATAACAAAGTTCATAAGTGAAAAATGGTGTGAAAATTTAATTTATTTTACTTTATTAATACTTGAAGTATTTCAAAATGGGTTTTCGTCTTTTTACATGGGAATCACACAGCCTCATTCGAGGACGACATGAAACAATAGTTCATCAGTCAGTTTTCCACTGACTGAGAGACTTCTGAAATCAAATCTTCAACAAATAAAATACTTTTTCTCTCAAATTTCTCTACAGTCACTTTCATGAAACAAAATCATTTTTCGAGTGACTGAAAAAAATTAATGTCTATTTCAACATCCAAGTATCCAATGCACTCTAGTTCAATACTGAAAAGTACATATTGGTGCTCAATAAATTTATTTCAAGCATTAATTTGTTTACGACACTAATTGAGAATTGCACTCTGTTCTATTAGAACACATACACTAAGAAATTCACTGTTACTCTTCTTTGAATTCCACATGTTTTTCTTTTGGCCATTCGAGTGTATACTCTAATGTACATTGAAATTCTTCATGCGCCTGCAATACACATTTCCATTCCAAATTGTTTCTATCGTTCATTTTCACCGTGCAGTTTCGTGCGTAAGCCTTTTGCCGTAGATCAGGTGTGATTAACTTCACTTTGATCTTTTCATCCGAAGATAGAGGCACTTGTTCGTAGACGAACACTGTGATCTCGGTTGATTTCGTGTTCACAATCTTTGTCTCATGACGTATCGTCTCATGATGTACTTTCGAGATGAGACCTTGAGTATCAACCATTTTCTTGACTGGTTTGTATTTCCACTTTGACACTGATATCTATGCCCAATGGAAGATCGAATGTGTCATCAACACAAACATTATCGATTGAGCTGTGTGTGACAAAATTATTGTCCATAACTATACAGATACGGATCCAGCAAGAAGTGGCTTATCGGAAGTATTCACTGTTGACGCTTTGAGATACGCATGAAGTGACATTTTTGGCACAACCGTATATATGAATGTTGAAGTAAGATCTAGAACACCAATTGTGACCTTGTGTGGTTTCCCCTAGTAGAAATAAATAATATACAAAAACATTCGACATCACTGGATAGAATATTTACATCAGAATCGATCGTTGATTGAGGAGGAATGACAAAACCGGTACTAGACATGCTAGCTTCAGTTTTAGAGGCGAGAACATTGACTTGTGCCTTAGCATATTCTTCACCTTGGTTTTCAATGGTCAAATCATCAGCGAGTGATAATTTACCACAATATGACTTGAATGCAGCTTTTGAGAGCTTAATAGACTCACTCTGAACATCTAATAAGCATTGTACATGTACACAATTGTCCATATTCATTGTCTCTGCTCGAAGAGTCCGCTTGGAGTAAGTAACCGATGGTTTGTAATAATTGATTTTTAGTGTGCTCAATTTCGGTGGGGCTCCACCTAAAGACTGTTGCAGTAGACAACGATACATTTGTATCAACCCAGTTCTCTTGACTTTTATTTACCTAAAGATCAGCAAGATCCATGAAATACTTGTAACTCAATGAAAATTCGACTACTTATAATAATTCCATAATACGTTAACTGTGTTCGCTGTCGATCTGCTTCGACACTACTGACACGAACATCGTAATTGGCACTCAAAGAACAATTTCCAATCAAATAGGAAACTTCGAGTGCTACATCAATTTTATCACTAGCTATATGAACTGTGATCGTCACTTCTTGACATGTCTTTCTTCGACACGCTTGAGCTGCAGCGCCATGTTGATTGATTTGAGATTTCAAAGCTTCTTGATGAGCATTCAATTTCTTGACTTCCTCTTCTTCGTGAACTGTTTCATCATCGAGTTTTAATAGTATTTTGTGATAGAACTCAAGAAATTGCTGCATATTCTCCATATCATTGGTCGAGCAAGGTCCATCTTGGTCCATTAATTTGACTGAGCATCCATTGAGCCATTCCCGTTGTTTCGTAAGTCGTACCAATTCGCGCTTATGAGTCTCTATGCCAGTTTGCACGTTTTCAAGTTCACTTTGAAGATGATCAAGAGATGTCAAATACGATGACAGAGCAACATCTTCATGTCGTATTTGATATAAGACTTCAAGAATGGTGCAAGCTTTACCTGTTCCACCACGGACATGAAACGATGTTTCATCCACAAAGGTTGAAAAACCACCGAGCACGAGATCATATGTACCTTCGACATCGAAATGGTGTCGTAGGATTCGTGTCACTTCTGCACGATGATTGTAGACAGTAACATACTGAATAGGACATTGCTGATCGACATCGAAGCGAACAATAGGAGTTTTCACAGCTGTTACTGGTACGACCAACGTGTTTGTCGTTGTTGTTTCAGCCATGGTAAGTTAAACGAATGAATACGTTGTGCTTTTTGCGTTCTATGTATCGTAATTACTCGATGCTTTGCAATTTTTTTCCTCGTTTTAAATACTGAAATCAAAGGGAAAAAAAAGTAGGCCAGAGAACAGTATCGAATACATGAATCAGTCAGACTGCACGAGAATATCCCGTAAATACTTGTAAGGTTGTATGGAGAATGATAGTCACGATGGGAAGGAACAAAAATGAGTCATTATGGGATAATATCGGTGTTATTATCGATGTGTGAATGAATAGCACAGCTTTCATAATATTAGAAGAAAAAGATCAATGAAAAAGAATTTAATAATCAAACAAAAATAAATTGTTGTATTTTATAAAGCGATGTTGCTTGTGTATGAAAATAATATTTTCCCAACACTTTCGTGTGTCACAGCTGATTTCTCTATGCTATTCTCATATATTCATTAGTCTTAATGCATAAATAACATATGATGCAAAAGTAATGGGACAAGTGTTAGTACTTATTTCTCTTCGATACAGGGATGCTGAAAGAAAAGTTTATTTTATCAGAAGATATAGAATTTTTTCCTCTTTCGAATCATATAAATTTTCTTTTTCTAACTAATTGGTAGACGAAAGAACGCAACAGAAAAAAAGAGAGACTCTTAAAAAGAATCTGCACTTTTCGTGAAATTTAGAAAAACGGCGCAAAATGTTGTTTTCTTTAATTCTTTTACAAATATGTTTTCAAACGAATATTCTCTTACTAGCTATTTAATAGAAAATTTTCTCCTCTTTCGAACAGTGTATGATTTATATTCGATGCATATTTCTAAATGAAATGAAAGAAGAAAAAGAGAGAAACATTCGAACGCAATAAATTTACATGTTTTTACATGAACCTATTTAAAACATCTTGTTTAGCGACAATTAATGCCATATTTATGAACTCATTGAAAAGATCTTGTCAAACCGTGTACACTTCGAATTTTATGAGCTTGTTGAGAACGTCTCGTAAAACGACAGCTAAATGTGATTTACAAATATTTATAAGATATTTTTAACGAATTCATATAAAAATTATGGATTTACTGCGGGAATGTTTTTCTTTATTTTCGTCTCGTTTCACTCACTAATATGTAACAAATATAGATCTTTCACAGTTCGAAAAAGAAGAAAATTTCCTATTCACTGATAAAAAAACGTGTTCTTTTCAGGGCCCATTTATCGAAGAGATATAAGGAGCGATGTTTTGTGCACTCTTTTCATAGGAAAGTGCAGATTCTTGTTAAGGACTCCGCTCTATTCTGTTATGTTCTTTCTTTTATGAGTCTGTTCTAAAAATAAGTTATATGCAATTTGAAATAGGGAAAAGTCTCAATCTTCCAGCAAGAAAATTTTTCTTTCAGTATCCTTCTATTGAAGAATGATAAGCACCGATATTTTGTTTGGTTACTTTCGTGTCATATTTTACTTTAAAAATGTCGCTCTATACTTCGTTAATAAAATTAAATTTTCTTCCGAACAGAGAAATAGTTTTGCTTGATTTTTTTGGGATATCACTCCACTCTATGAGCTGAAAAACAAGGTAAAATTTTTCTGTTAAATGATTCAGTTTTCATTGAATTAAAGCAATAACAACACTGAAAAAAATCACTTTGCATTCAGCTTGCACATCATCTTTTTTTATTTTGTGTAGATTTCCGTATTAACAAGCTTTATGAAACAAATCTCTTTTACTTTTAATATGATTTTCCCCTATTTGTTCTCTTTAATATCCAATCTTCTTTGTTCATATCTCTCAGAAACTAAAACAAATAAAAACTTGATTTTTCCAGAATTGAATGATCGTATTTAGACTAGGAAAATAAAAATATGTCATCGTAATTGGTTGAGTAGAACTCGACTCACATAGATTCTTCTTTTCGAGACACAATGGTACAACAGGTATGCATGTCGCTCGTGTTGATTACGGCCTAGGGTGATCAACATCTATGCAATGACCCTGTCCAAGTTGACAACATTCGAAATAATCTTCTAACAAGTTTTGAAACAGATCTAGTTAAGGTTATATAGACATAAACCTACTACTGTTACCATAGATAAATCTGAGCTGCACGTCTGTCAGGTGGGATGACAGACGTCAGCAGACTATGCGATCAAATCTGAAATATTCAGTCAGCAGTACTTCTGGTTTTCATGTTCTGGTCATGAACAGTGATGAGTGTGGACTTTTGATGAAGAGATTCTTTACACCAGTCCACATATCTCCAAACAATTCCATATTCCAATTTCATCATAACCATTTTGTCTATTTCATGCTTAAATTCCTGACCGCTTTTCTCTCATTCGACAAATTCAAAATTCAATTTCAATCGATTAAGACTTTTTTAAAATTTATTTTATTTTTACTTGTGTCATCTCAAATGTTTATTCCGTATATATGATGATGATTAGTAAAAGAATAGAATGATGTAGATTAAAATAAATCAATCATTCCATTCGATTGTCTTGATCAGTAGCAAGTTATTTCACTTTTTGCCTCTTCGTGGTGCTGATCTGAGTTCTTTGGCAGTTAATGCAAGAAGATACAATGCGTCGGGAAACTTAATGGAGAATATATCCATATTGTATTTTGCCGTCCACAATCTTGATGCGGGTCGTTGTTTGAACTGAGCTAAGAGCTCAGTACGACCTTTTTCATAAAATTCGTTAGGAAGAATATCGGGTTTGCTTTTCAATATTATACATGTTCCATTCCAATGGATGGTAAATTCGCTCATTCGCCAAGTGGATGTTTCTGTAATATTTCCACTGATCCACTTATTGGATGATAGATCAAGAAGTGAAATATCAGCACCATATTTCAGCAGTGATGGTCGACCAGTTAATTTACCCACGACTTGCTTTGATGGATTAGCCACTATTTCATTGTTATGTCGAAAACCAAATCGAGATTCGATACGATATATTAGTTGTTTTTCAGTTATATCATAAACTGAAAACTCGCGTGATATGACTCCCGAAAAGAAATCTTTTTTGACCATATAGCTGTGAGGGTATGGGTGAACGTAAGCAATCATATTAACCATCAACACTAGAATCAACACAGCCAAAGTATCAGCTAACATTGTGCTTATGTTAAACTTAATGGATTAGAATGTGCACATAAAAAAATAACTAAGTGGGTTTTTATCATGATGGTATTAATGAATCATACGTAGTCGGTTTACACCATCGAACCTTATGTCAATACTTATCGATAATGAGACAACATGTCAAAGAAAATACTTCGTAAAAAGCTGATGCATACATCTGTTTGTTTGAATTCTCTAAGGCAATCCAATTGAATAAATGGAAGATAAAAGTGAGAGTAAGATTTTATTGAAACTTTTGAAATCATACGCTTATTAATTTGTTTAAAAATGATTATTTGACGCATGCCATTCGTTTAATATCACATAAATATATAAAAATGAAACTGTTTTCTTGAAGAAATGCTATTCTCGGTGAAGCTTACAGAGACTTACTAGATCAATGTAGCATTTGAAACATCTACTCATTCTGAGCCATCAGTTGATCATAACTAAACAATCGCGTGCAAAAGATTTCTACAATCTTTTTTTTGTATACATTGCAATAGAATTGTAACAAATATACAAAAAATTTACTTCATGAGTAGCTGTTATCACAGTTATAAATTTCTGGAAAGACTTAAACGCAGAACGAAAACTGGGGTGTGACTGTGGGTGAAGAGAAGGTTTATAACAGGACACACACCATAATCTCAAGATTGAATGATCTGTGCTCTGAAAAAGGAAACGATGAAAACAAAAAAAGATCTCCTAAAGATCGAATATACAATCAATGGTATTTTTGAAAAATGTTCAACAAATACTCTCAGTTATAGATACGAGTTTGATCTTTCGTATCGTTCCTGAGCTTCTGTAGAAATATATTAAGTTAGTAGATGACAGAATTTGCTTTTCTACAGTAAATACTAGTCAATTAATATAAGGCTAATAATCATGAGATGCCATCAACGAAACTTTCTCAAATAATTTATCAATTGAAATCAAACGAATGTGTTCAGAAAATTCCTATAAAAGATGAGGTGATAACAAGGATGACATTACTCGATCGACAAAGAAGACACAATCGTGGTTCTTTTTGAAAAATTGTTCCAAATAATTTGTTGCAAATTATTTTTTTTTCGCCTTGCTCAGTTGACTATGAACAGCTAACACATGCTTAGCTGGCTACAATTCATTCTACATGTCGTTCGTTTCTTCACGAGGAATTTTCAGGGCATCTTGAAATATTCTTGATTCGTGTAAAAAAAAAGTGGACTTCGGTCTGGTTTTATTTCTTATCATTTTGGTTTGTGATTCTTTGTGGCGCCAATATAGAAGTTCAACCTTGTTGAATTCATCCTACACCACAATTCTATGTACTACAAGAAGGTCTTGTCTCTTCAACGCAATATTCTGATACATGTGTAACATTTTGGTGAGTTTTGGGTATGCATAATTGAACTTGGATGACATGTCTCGGTTCATTCTGCGTCTAGCCACGTTATGATTCGAATTTGGACGAATAATCATGTACAACACATCGAAAAGTGTTGTACGAATTATTGTTGATGTCAATCGAGAATCATAACAATGACTTAGTAGATCCCATGCTAATAAATATATTCAAACAACAATTGTGGAATAATTTGAACAAATTAATATTAGTTCAGAAAAAAAATTGTAGCCACTAAATAGTTTTTCCGCATTTGAATTTCATAGAGATATGTTTGAACTTCATTGGAATATTTCTATAGGATCTTTTAATTTCAGAACAACAGTGTTAATCAAAGAATATCGTTCAACGAATGTGTCTATAAATGAATGTTTGTTTTTCGTTAAATCTTGCGTATAATTTTTTAATCTGAAAGTGTCGAACTAAGAAGAGTTCACACAAATTTTGATCGGACATACACAATTTCTTGATGCTATCCTTCTTAAAATATCTATGTCATTGATCATTTACAATATTTGACAATTGACGAACTATATATATATGCGTAATGAATAGTGCTGGTCTCGATTATATTGCTGTGAGTGATGTGCACGATTGACGGAGTAATAAATGTAGAAAAATATAGTATACATCAATTATAAACATCGTCCAGAGTTACCATGCAATATTTCTTCTGAATCAGCTTTTGCAAATCCACCTACTACTTGAAAGCATTACGCAGCTCTCACACTCATTGTTTTAGTTTTGTTTTTTGAATTCTTGAAGAAAAGCATACTTTTTTTACTCGTACTTCTTTAACCGGTTCACATATTTTCTGCAAAGTAAGAAGGATATCAAATAGTGACAAAATCTGCCTCTCCCAAATTCTGATGTCCTATTTTCCACCACTAGCCAAACGGAATTCAAAGAAGATTTGTATTTGTGCGAAGGAGCACTTTCCGGAATACTTGGTTTCTACAAGTAATCGAAGTATATACAATCGATAGCTATACATGGGTTGATGCTTCTCAGTGAACATTTAGACATTTCTTTGCATCAGTTCTACAAGATCCTAAAAACATGTCGAAAACTACTTTTCCCAAGGAGCATATTGCTATATTATCTCGACATAGTTGGTAGAATTCATAAATATTTCGCTAAAAATTCAATCATCTGATTGAAACGTCTAGGTATCTTCAGAATCAGGTCTTAAATGTTAGAAGAAAAGTTGAATTTCGCAAGATTAGTGCATTATTGAACAATTGTTAGAAAACTGTGTTTCTTTTCCTTGTGTCACCCTATTTTATTTGTATTAGTGTTTTCATTACTTAATATGGAATTTAACTATCGTAATGTTGTTTGGATAGTGAGAAAATTGACTGGAACACGAATAATGACCAATGAGAACTATTATTAACTGAACTTCGAAGAAAAAATCTTGAAACGTAAAACTCCAGCAATAAAAAATTTCAAAAAAATGTTTCTATCGTCGAGATTTTTGCTTGCAAGATTCTAACATAATGCCACAAGTTGATGTCGACTGATGCCTTTGAGAATGAAATTTCAAAATTGACCAACTGTCTTAATTTTCTATTTGGTAACCACTATTGCACTCTTAGATCAAATTTTATCCGAATTAATGTAAGACTCTTATAAATCTAATAATCATACAAACTAGACTATCCATCTTGCCAGGTGTATTCTTCAAAGTGGGGATAGGTACGAGAAAAGTAAAGGTTCACGTCCACGCTGTAATTGTTCGATAAAAGTTACATTTAAAGTAATAAAATACACGTTAGCAAACAAATATTTATTTCTATCAAGAAAAATTTTCAAGACGCGTCACAATATAAATATATTTTGTCAATGTTTTCCACAAGAAACATTTTTCTTCGTTTATGTGGTTAGTTAAGGACGCGATCATTACGTACAAAGCGGATCACTGATGCTTGATTAGCTTATACACATATGTTTTACAAGTCATAACGATATTCAAGAGGCTATCAATATACGAAAGGTTAGTGTGAGACGTTATACAACTTGTCAATCGTGGAAAAAAGTATATTTCTGATTCTCTTTTAGAATTATAGACATAAAACCTGTCTGACAAGACAGATTTTTGTGGAACTCACGTATGTTTTCGAAGAAAATAGTGAGTGTAAGTTTTCAGTTCGAGGTTGGCGGCTCCCTCTCCCCACCCCATTACAGACACATAGCAACGGGAAAGAAAACATTACAGACATACCTCCCCATTACAGACACATAGCAACGGGAAAGAAAACATTACAGACATACCCCCCATTACAGACAACTCCCCATTACAGACAGCCCCCCATTACACATAGCCCCTCATTACAGACCTGAGCAACCGCGCATAGAAGGCTTTCGATTATATATAATATATCAATGCTTTTATAAATACTCGAGAAAAGGTATTTTGCAGTTTAAACATCAGACATCAGGATAACAAGTTTCAAAGATATACGTGAGTTCCACATTTCAGCTCCTCTGGAGCTGCGCTAACAAGCTTTTATATATACATAGAAACAATGCAGTTCGAGTGGATCGAATAAGCCCACATTTTTAATACTGAATGAATTTAGCAAGAATTGACTTAAGATTAATCGAAGAAAACATCAATAGAATATCGTCTTTCATCATTTTTGAATCGTTTGCTGTTTCTATCAGTGGTTGCAAAATATTAACATTTTTGCTCATTAATGCACCTGCCAACCATTCAAAACCTTCTTGAAGACCTTGGTTTTTTGTGGCTACTGTCGCTTGTATATGCCATCTTCTGTCCCCGGTTAATTTGTCTAAAGCAAGTTTATCTCGTAACTCATCTATCGACATTACATTCGGTAGATCTTGTTTATTAGCCAATATGAGAACAGGCTTGTTCTGGAGTTCATCTTCGTTGATGATTGCATGCAACTCTTTTGATGCCTCATTTATTCGATCTCGATCATTTGAGTCGATGACAAAAACAATGGCGCGAGTATTTTGATAATAGTGTCTCCAGAGGGGTCGAATTTTGTCACGACCACCCACATCCCAAGCTGTCATTGTAATATTTTTAAATTCAACTGTTTCAACATTAAAACCGATCGTAGGAATTGTTGTCACGACTTCACCCAACTTCATGACATAAAGAGCAGTTGTTTTACCTAAATTTAAGAAAGTATAAGTATGTGCGATTAATTGCCGGCAATAGAAACATGAATATAGACTTACCAGCTGCATCCAGGCCTGATATAAGTACACGAACCTCTTCTTTTCTGGGGAAATAAGATGCAATCTTGTTGAATGATGAACCCATTTTTGTATGCGTTCTAGATTCTTTTTTTTATATCACTCTATGCACAGATATATATTTAAATATTTGTGTGTGCATGTACAAGTAATGGTATTTTGTATGAGAGTCAGTGATTCATTCTCTAGCAACACGAGTCATTTTTGCCACGTTGCACATCGATGTGGCAAAAATTGCACAACCACGATGCAATATCGTCTATTTTCTTTCATTTTGTGAAAATTATCGACTCTTATTGCATCTCATGTGAAAATGATCATGTTTCTACAACATGTATCGATGAACTATCTAATTTTTCACGTCTAAAGTGTGGATATGAATCATCTCGTTGTTTTCACTCACACCATGATCTACAATTTTACTACTTTTCAAATAACTTTACAAATAGAATATGTGTCCACCTTTAATATGTCAATGATATGCAGAAATACACTAAATATTCTGTTCTTTGTATCGAGGATGATTTAAGTCGTTCAAAAATTCTCACTTTTTTCTTCCATGACAATATTAACTAGACAAAAGTAGTATTTAGTCTATCGCATTGGAATAATATGAAAAAGCAAGAAACAAATGCATGAAAACTAATTTTCAAACAAGCATTTTTGTCACATAGCTCTTTACTAACTCTAGACAGACAATATTTCATCTAAAAACAAGCAATAATTTGTTAACATTTACTCAAAATGATAAATTTTATAAGTTCGATATTTAGCAGACAGAGTTATGTAGGGTGTGGATGTCGAGCTTAGAAGAACACCTACATCTTCTCATCATTGCATAATTAAAAAATCAAGAGTTTTCTTGTATTTCTGTGTTCTCATGTCGAGAAATATAAAACACAAATTGGACAAGTCATTTTTTTAAAACTCCAGAAACACTATATCTACCTTTTTCAATTTTTGAAAAGTTTACTTTTTATCTAAGTTTTTTTCGTTTTCTAAGAAAACTGCTGCAATTCAACAACGTATCATTTTCGACGCAGAAAGTTTTTCCTATTTGACAGCCATTAAAACATTCTTTTGAATACTAGGTGACCAAAAGACAATGCTTTGCATGTAGGAATAAAAACACCAACGCTAGTTTTGAATATTAAACCCATTCAAAGTCGTTAATAATTGCTTGTTTGTAATGTTGCTACAACAATATTTGCACTTCTACTCCTAGAGCACTTGTTCGTTTATTATTTTGCAGAACTTGCAACAATAAATCTTTTGACAAGAAAATTTAGTTCGAAATCTTAAAAACTGTAAGAGACATTGAGTAATACTTAAACTGGAATTTATTCTGATCCACTCGTTATTTGACAAATGTTGCTTCGGAATAACAAGCATCAGTGCATAACACAATAAGATATAACTCAATGTATACGAATGTAATTGTAGAAGTTTTTCTTTTCAACTCACCAGGACATAGATGGTGCTGTGTGCAAATAATACATTTTTGTTGACATGATTCAGTGTGGTCGATGACACATCTTTCATGATTTCGTTTTTTTAATCGTCACTAGGTACTTATTTTTGATGTTGATTGGTGGAGATGTATGCTTCATGAGGAAAAATCCAAATATAATATATTCTCTCCACTAGTTGTACATAAATATCGTATTTTTAGACGTATTATTCATTCCAAACAAAATGAACATTCGTGCTAGTATGATCGCTGATCCAACCACATTACTACTTTCAATGGCTGCAAAAAGTGTACCTTTTCTTCTCGAGACAATGTTCGAGATTGGTAAAGAAATACGAGACACAGCCCGACGAACGAAAGCTAACAGACATAAATGCCTACGATTAAGTGAACGAATCGATATTCTTACTGGATTTCTACATGAACAAAAGCTGGATGATACATTAAATGAATCGATGAAAACTGCATTACAAAAATTTATCACTTTTCTCCAAAAGAGTCTGGAATTTATTAAAATATTTACCAATGCTAGTTATTTCAAACGTTTATTGTATAGTAAAGACTATATTCTACAATTTATAGAATTTCATAATGAATTGTCTCAATATGTCGTCGATTTGAATTTAGGCATTAGTCTAATGTCTACACTTGTGAATAAAAAACAAGATGAGCATGATCGATTATCGGATTTAGCCGAATCACAACAATACGCATGTTCTACTGACGACAATCAATGTGCTAGATACTATCCATTATTGTCACCATACAAACAAAACCTAATAGTAAGAACAAAAAATAGATTGCTCTTCACACGGAATATAAATTCGAACTATTGTAGATGACTGATCATCACAGTGAAGCATTGCAAGAGAAATCAGAAAACATATTTCAATCTGGTATTTGGAAATATCAACGTGGTTTAAATAACTCATGGCAAAATCCATCTCATGTTGAACTCATTTTCGATTTGAAGACCGAGACAGTCCGAGGTTTCGGAGAGGATCATGTGGATCGATTCGTATTGGATGGCTCATTTTCTCCACAAAGTCGAACTATCAAAATGACTTGGCATTATAAAGTAATCTATTTTCTTATTTTTCAATCAATTCAGTCAGGAATGATTTTCTTCGCTCTTTCACATAACTCTCAGGAAACTTTTTGTCGACTAAAAATTAGTGTTATTCACTGAATCATCATTTCGATCATGATGTTTCTCATAAAGTTCAAATTAAATTTTTTATCTAGAATGAAAAATTGAATGGTAATCATCAACAAATGATTGATCTTCAATGGGACCATGATCAACATATATTTTTTGGTCAATACCATCAACAAAAGGATAGTAAAGATGATATCTGTTCGACTATCGAACAATTTAAATTGGCTCTCTTTTGTCGTTGCTGAAAAGTCTTTTTTTCGTCTGTAAAAATGATTTAACTAATGTGATCGATTTGTAGTTTTTTTTCAGTGTGACTTTGTTTTGTTTTATACTTATAAAATATGTTTTTCAATCATCAGACGTAATCTTTGTTAAGAAAATAGATTTTATTATAGGTCCTAATGGATGTAGATCTTCTTATGATCATTTTCAAGAAAGAAGAAGACATTGTTTCAAAAGCTTTATCAATTTATTTTTCATTCACGATTACTATTCGAGCTTCTAAGCATGTGACAGCATCCTAGAGAAATTGTGAATATATTTTATTGATGTAGTTGTGGATGAAGAGATGATCTACACATCACACTCTTACCAAGCTTCTACGATTTAGAAAAAAATACTATTTATCGGAAAGTTGCCATCGTAATCTACCCTTGACTAGCTAGTAAGTTATTCCGATTAACAGAAATGGTTTTGTAGCCCGTGAAAAGAGCTATCCGATAAGCTATAACAGAAGCTGGCTTATACGAATTTTTAGCAAAATGATTAATCAAATATGCTATACTATATGTAAAAATGAGCATAGTTTTTACTTTGTGGTCGTGGACTTTTTTATTAGTTCGTCTTTAACAATTTTAAGAACTATAGGATTTTGCAGCCCGTGAAAAGAGCTATCCAATAAGCTATAATAGAAGCTGGTCTATACGGATTTTTAGCAAAATGCTTAATCAAATATGCTGATAAGACTATTCAAAATCTTACGGTAGGAAGTCCTCAAATGTATTTGAAAGGTACCTAAAATCTAGTATAAAAGTACTCGCCAGTTGAAGCTCTTTCATTCTATATATGATTGTGCTGGATATAGTGTGGAAAACCCAATGGGTCAAATCAGGATCTTATGCGCCCCTGTTCTTACTGTAATCAAATAACATAATGACAAGTGTGTGAATGTGGAAGTAAGTGAGGTCTCTATTCTATTCACATCCATACTCTTATGCTTATGTTAGAAATTTTTAAGTAAGAAAACAAAAAGTTACTCAATGGTTTTTATCGACAAAATGTTTCATAAAGACATATTGGTGAACAAACCTCTGACTTTGTATTAATCAATGAATGGTCAAAGTTGATACAATATTAAACTTGAACCAACATTTATTAATAACAATTGATAGCGACGCATTATCACTGTCTTATATTGAAATAAATTATTTGATTTGCATGCACACAATTTCAACATCTACAAAATTTAATTATGAAGCATGAAAACTTTCATACGATACATCATCGTAAAAAGATTATTTTTCTATTTGAAAACTGATATTTTCGATAAATTCAAACATAGTCAATATCTTTTGTTAATGAATGACGTGTCCAAGGAGTAGTGTAATAGTGATTGATTATGATCGGTCGATTAATTAAGTATTGATAGGTAAAATATGTGAATAGAGTAAAAAGCAACAGAAACGAAAAACAAATAGCTAATATAGAAATCCAATAAGCAGCATTGCCAAATTTTCGAGATAAATGTCGATCTTGTTTACCGCATAATGACCATATACTTAGAATAATAGCTAATATACCTAAAAGACAAAGAAAAATCTTAACATATAAACAGAAAAGATTGATTATGCTCTGTAGCAGAGCTCAAAACGGGCCGTCCAGCCTGAACCTTATTTCTTTTTCAAGAAAGATCTTCTACGCAAGAAAACACAGCAAAACTCTGAATTTCAAATTTTTAAATGAATTGAAATCGGTGTTAAAATGGAATAGTTCGATTGCAATTAGAATTAAATTGCGTTCGTTTAATCAGTTTTGTTTTGATTTTTCGTCTGAATTTCTTACACGAACTTTAGAGCTTACAACTGATAACAATTAGGAATCTTTGTTATGCAAATGCTTTGGAAGTTTCACTTAGCCAATAATTAGAAATCCGTTTTTGTAAAAGAAATATACTTTTAGTAGTACCATTCTCAGCTGAGTTCGCACATCAAAAAGTAATCCGATTTTGAACCCTGCTTTGTAAGCATTCGAACGAAATGGTATTTTTCTTAACAGATATGAACTAATTTAATTGTAGTGATACTCGTCTTTATCTAAAAAAATTAATTAATTTGATTTATAGTAGATAATCATCACATTTAAATAAGAGCGTGTCCGAGATACAGATATCAAGACTGATCGTAGTTTTGGATCTCTGACTTCCAGAATCGGTGGGAAAATTTTTCAAGGAATACAAGATAATTATATGTGATCTAGTGTGTTATGATTTTGATATACACACATTAGACTTGCAAAGAGATAACTGTATATCATTGCTGTCAACATATTCATCTTATACTCAAAATGATTATATTTTCTTCCAAAACGATTTCCGATAAATATTAAGCCATATTTATAATCAATACTTGACTTTCATTATCAATTTACTTACCAACAGGTGGAAATATCAATAAGGCAAGCAGAGCAACACCAAAATGTGTATTGATTGGACGTTCTTGTTCAACATAACGTTGTTCATGCATTATATTGGTTCGATGATTATTATTGTTTGTCGGTAGTGTTTGATCATATTCAAGTACTACAAAACAAAACTATTAGTTTTCAAATATCTGATAAAAGTCTGATCTATCATTTGGAGACACATTACTGGACCATCCTTTTACTTAATGCTCCAAAAATGTAAATGAGATAGTAGTTCATAAATTATAACGAGATATTATTGATAGTGTTTCACAAAAGATATGGATCATTTCATTCTTTAGTGGCGTGACTTTGCAAAATTAAAACATATATGTTTGACGTGACACACAACGAATATACAAACGAAAAGATGCTCTTATAATCAAATGAGAAGTTCCAAATTGATGTTGAACGGTACCGGTTTCTCAAAGGACGCTTATTGGAGTTCTATCTTGCTGAAAATATCACCATATATGCAAGCTGTAAATCAAAGTCAAATGAAAATAGAATAGCCGTATGTTTCGTTTTTCCTGAAATTTCCCATATATGGATAATGAAAACTTACGAAATTCTCTTGATCCCGTACGATATAATCGTTGTCGCCAAATACAATTTAAAATAGGTGGTAACTTAGCTATCGTTGTCTCCCAGATATCAAATAAACTCCATCTATGTCGAATATTTTTCTTATTGATAGTATCTTGATATTGAAAAAGATTATGCTTAACATTTTCGTCATCAGAACTGATTGTTTTCGTTGATTCATCATTTTCCATTTCACTAATACATGAATATAAAGATATTCGATTCTTATTTTCATATTGATATTGATCGATTAGATGTGCACTTTGAATATTTTTGTTATTACTAGATAAATGATTTGTATTCATAGGTAATGGAGATGAATATGATTTTTCAAGAGGTTTACTAAAATCAATCGATGATGATGATATTGAACTATATGATTGATGTTCAATTTCGATAATAGCTGCTGATTCTTGTTGTTGATCATGTTTTGAGGTTAATTTTAAAGAACTTTCATCCCAATGTAATGATAATTTATGATTCATAGGAGAATTTTCTTTTTTTAAACATAATTCAGATTTATTATATGTTTTTGATGTATTAGTTAATTCTAAAAGCAATTTTATTGAAGAATCGGTTATTTCTCTAATTTGACATTTTGAAATATTCGTTAATGATTTATCTGAGTAATTTGATCGTCTTACTTTATTTTTTAAACATGATTGATAAATGAATTGAGAACTTAATGATGAATAGAGATAAGGTTTTATTGATATATTAGCAAAATCATCTACTGATCGAGTTAGTAATAATCGTTTACTAGCATGAAACATTGTTTGATATTGATTACATTCTTCAATCGTTTCTTTTAAAGTATTATTTAAATTAAAAAGATCCACTACAGTGGTATATTTTCTTTTTTCATAATTTGATGTTTCTGAATTGTTATACATGTTTTTCAATACATTCATAAATTCATTTTCAAGTTCTTCAATACGCGGTGATGGTAAACGAGTAATTAATGGTAATTTAATAGTTGATTTATCTTTTTTCTTATGCCACATAAGTTTTTTTATAGGAGAAAACCGAAATTTTTTCTTGCTAGTTTTTACTTCATTGATTATACTGGGTAAATCATGATTTGATCGTTTTCTTCGAGAATGATGAGATAATCTTTTGAATATATCGATTTTTTTCAATTTTACACTAAATTTCATTGCTGAATTTTGGTAATGATAAGGAAAGAGCGCGATTCAATTTTTTTCCAACGAATAATAATACTTTTCATTAGTATGAAACAAAAATAAGCATAGTGAATATGTCATAGATTTGTATAATACAACATTATATATACACAAATGTTCTTATATCGATTTCAATATTCGAGAAGAAAATTTAATGAAATTCGAATCAATATGTTACCTCTTGGTCCACGGTACGAATAAAAGCATAAAAGCTGATAGCGCAACTTTTGTGCAATTATAATACGAACGCTGATGTACCTACTTTTGCTAATCATAGAGAGATTATCTTATTCTATCTATTTTCGACCATATTTCTTTACTATTTTTTTTCTGAATTCTCCAGAAATCCAATAAGTAGTTTATATATTATAACGTCTTGCAAGGTCTATCAATATGTTGACACATAATATTTGTAACCTTTATATTTTCAACGACTTGTAAAAGTTTTGAATAGAACTGAGATACTCAAATTGTTTTTTTACTGTACTTTCTATATCTTGAACTTAATTTGTTGCTGAAAGGGACCTGGAAAAACAAGAATCAAGGGAAAAATATGATGAAACAGGTGTACGCTCAATAGTTTCGTTCAATTAATTTGTAAAAAATTATACTCTTTTTAAATAAATTTTTATGAATAAGAGAAATAATCGATATTAAGAAAAATAATATGAACCGAGAAAATGACTACTGCTAACAGTAAAGCACCGATGTCTTTTGTTTGTTTCAAAGATTGAGTTATTCAATTTATTAGTTTGTAACTAATCTGTATGAAGATTATACAAGCAATTTTTGCATAAATTTTGGATTTCCATCGATGATAATGATTGTATAAACAATCGGCAAGATCAATAAAATAACTAACTCTATCTTCGTTTGTGTCTACATTTTCAAAATCTTTAACTGACAGCAATAGATCTGTAAATATGCGATGTTGTAAGTAAACAAACACAAAATGAACAAATAGGAAGTATAAAACATTTTAAAAAAATCTAGTTATTTCCCATTCAAGCCTAGATGATGACTCTAGCAGAACTATTTTTTATTGTTTCACAAAAGTTCTCTATTAAATATTTCTAATTTCTAATTTTTTGATGAAATAGAACCAAATCATGCTCACATATTTAGTAAATTTCGTTCTTTTCATGACAAACACATTAGTTTCTGTTTGCATGACTGTGTACTGTCTCTTTCTTTTTTGTACTGTCAGTTTCAACATGGTGTGTCTCAAGCATTTTTTGTGTCCTCCAAATATTCATTAATCGATTGGATGGAAAAAATAAATGCATGACTATACACTCGAGTGAGATGCAATTTCTCATCCGTTTCATTTTTTTTACCTTCATACGTCGATAAGTATTTATTCGTTTAACAGTGATCTATTTTACATCCAATCATGAGTGCTCAAACTAACAGAAATTATCGTCGTAAAATTTATGCTTGTGCCTTGAAGAATGTCTCAGATTATGATGCTAAAGTTATACTCATCTACGAAGGTATCGAATATGATAATGGAGAAATCAAGAATACACGTTTGGACATTGATGTAGAGAAGGGTAAAACACATTATCTCTCAGAAAGACTAATTACTCGACGTACGTATAATATTCGTGAAGTGATCGATCGCGTCGAAGTCACGTTATCCAATGGAACAAAACTGGAATTGAAAGCACCTTTCGATGGTGTTGAGAATCCAACAGCCGATTGGCATTTCGTCATTGAAAACACACAGATCAAATCGGCTGGACCTACTCCAGAATTTGGCAAATAGAGCCAATTTTTGTTTTGACAAACTTCTGACAGCTAACTCTCTCTGTGATTATGTTACAAATATTATTTTTTCTTATATTTATATATTCAATTTAATACATTCTCTTTCTGGACATCAGTGACCTACTTTATTTTCAACTTTTGTTTGCTCACAAATTTTCAATTAAATTAGAAGAAATCTCTAGCTACGTGTTTCATATTTCAGGACATAAAGCTTACGATACACAACAGCAGATGTGCTTCAGAAGTTCAAAAACGATTTTAAAATCGATCCTACCTGTATACAACAAAAGCAATTTTTTTTTCAACTTTAGCAAGTTATTGTAACTACCGCGTAGTAAATAACTACAAAGTTTCAAATCGTTACCTTTTATTATTGATAAGATACTGTAGTAATTCTATCATACATTATTTTCTAAATTTTACAATTATTTAAGCTGATAACATGCGATACAAAAATGGTATGCCAAATATTGTTTTCAATGTCTCATTTTAGAAAACACATGTTAAAGACAAAAAAAAATATTTCCTTTCCGAACATGTTGTCATTTTTGTGTGTATCGATAGAAGAATTGAAAAGATTCATTAGAAAAGAAAAAAAAGCAAATTGAAAATTTAAATAATGTATACCATGTAATTTTTCAAGACAATCTAAATATGAGGGCAAGAATAGAAGGACATTAGGCTATTTGAAAACGATATTAAAACGAAATACAACGAGTTAAGTATTTCTTTATGCTATAGAACGATAGTTCAATATCAATACAACTAACATAAATAAAGGGTGTAGATGGTAAACAAATACACAAACATTGATAAATTGTTATTAGTTTATGTTGACTTCAAAAAGTTATTTGGATTGTCTGAACTAATGGTCACATCATTCTAAGAAGTATTATTCTTCAATAAGATGCTGGTGATTTGAGATTTCTCAAGATATTTCGTCTATGGTGCTACTATGGTTGATAAAAATCAAGTGGTTGAAATGTATAGCACTCTTTTGTAAATTAGAGGCTTTTTAGTTTTAAAAGACTAGACTCAAAACTTAAAATAAGTCAATAGGTCCTTACATGTTGTTCTTGTTTAAGTCTTGTCGTCTTTCTTCCAGTCTCTTCATATTGTTCTTGGAATGTATTATTCTCTATAAATGATTGTTTCGTCTGCAAATTGAATTTTAACTGAGATGTTATATTGTGATAGGACTAATTTTTGGCTTCCTGTATCTTTCGAAAGTATGTTTCTGATAAGAATTAGGAAGTGAACTTGAACAGAAAAGACTACATCACATATCTTACAGAGCTTGAGAAAATTATTCCTACTTTTCATGCATCTGGAGAGAAAGAACTATAACAATTTCAAAAATCTTGTTCTGTCAGTGAATCGGTTTTGTTATTGTTGGTTGAAATGGAAAATTGGTTCTAATCTAGTGAAACAGATAATGTAACTCGAGAGTTTAACTAAAACCAATTCAGGCCAGTTTCAAATAGGCGCAATCAACGCAATACTTTGAACTCTATGCGATGGTGAAATGTCCACATCTACATGCAAATATCATCGATTTTCAAGAAGTAGATATATTGGACTTGTAGAAAGTGTATTGGTGGGCATGAATTACATTCGAGAGATTCATGAAATACAAGTCTCAATTTGATCATTTTGCAAAGAAACAAACACATACTGTCATCTCATGTTTTGGTAAAAAATATGGCGCAACTTTGCTTCTGAGTATCCTCATATCTAATAGCATTCAATTGACTGAGATCCAACCAAAAGTCAATATAAATTTCAACAATATCTAATACATATGACAAAACATAAGATTGTAACTCATTTGAAATCCATGTAATTGACTGAACGAAGCAAGAATATAATTACTGCACAAAAATAAATCATTTTTATATTGAACGGATGCACTCGATAAGTCATTAAAAACATCAATATTCTTTCACCATCATCACAATACACATTCGTAAAAATGAAATCTGATTTATTCGATAATCAGTCAATCCCAAAACCAATAGTGAATGAATGTAACTATTAAAGATGAGATTTGAGCCATTCGGCAATGAAGTCATTTGCTTGTTTGTATGCATTCATAATCGTCGTATTGTCAGGGTCGGGTCGAGCTGCGAATCCATGAACTGTTCCTTTTGTTAATAGAAACTTGCTGGGTATTTCTGACTTACGAGCAAGAATATGTTCAGCTTCTGCTCGAAGAGCATCCGTAAATTGATCCTCTTGTTGTGCGCAGACAAACGTCACAGGTACATCCAATTGTTCATAGTGAGTTTCATTGGTCAGTGAAACATGACAACCGACAATGGCATCTGCTAGATGAAGTTCTTTGCTGCCAACTAACAATGCATAGAGACCACCGAAACAATAACCAACTGCTTGCACTCTAGTTGTTCCTTTTTCCGAGCGAAGAGTCTTTATTTTCTATAAATATTTCTTAAAGAGAAAAGAAAAGAATAATATAGTCATTTACTTTGAAGAACTTTTCCACAATGGGAAGAGTGATAGCTTGTCGATGACGGAACAGCCATGGAACTAATGATGTAATGATTTTTCCAGTGAAACTAATCTCTATGAAGAAAACAATTTTTTCAATGACTAACCTTGGTACTGATAACTTACTTTAATACCAATAGACATCTTTTCTCCTGAAACTTGAGGTATACCTTGAAGAAATGAAGATGCAATTGGATTACCATTGAATAGATCCGGTATATAGATATCAAAACCAGCTTTTTCAGATAGTTCATCGGCAGTGATACGTGGGTTCTTTGTCAGACCTATTTCAATGTTTGACATGTATGAATAACATCAACATTAAAGATAAGGGCATACCGAATATATCAGTTAATAGGACCATTGCCTTGTTTTTGGATGCATGATCTGTTCCTGCAATATGATAAGTGCTAATATCGGTGATCTTGATGATTTTCCCTCTTGGAGTTCCAGGCAATTGACGATATTCAGTGAGACAGCAAGTATTTAGCTTCTGGTCTTCGAATCCAGAAGCCATTGGCTATTTCTTATTTTGTTCTACAAAACTTATTACTTTATATTGCTAGTATTCACCTTCAGTCATGTGTGAAGAATGAATAAAGTAAGCTGTCACATTACACATGACAAAAGTCTTTCTTTTCTTAGCGTTGAATAATAAATGGCCAAATAGAGAGAAATAAAAACGACAAAAAAAAGAACGCTATACAAAAAAGACTCGTGCGTTGGTCGCGTGATACAAGGATTTTTGCCTTTTTTCCTCGAATACGTTAATTTTGGACAGACAAGATACTATTGAAAGCACAAAAGATGCTCTAAAAGTTGAAATTTGATTTGATTGAAATTTATTTATTTTATCAAAAACAAGTTGCATTCAAACGATAATTTTAATTCTTAACCAAAGGATTCTCAGAACACTTGAACTAATTTTCGTTTCATACTTCATATAGATGGATACATTTTTCGAATTAAAAAAAAGAAATATTGGACGCACATCAATGTGTTATATTCAATGTTTTTATAAAAATACGTTCGAAACCATCAAATGTTTCATTTCCAACACTTTCAAATATATCAATATCAACAGCCTCGGTTATTCTGGGAAAACCTTGTTAATCAACAATTCAAAATTTATCTTTCTGTTGAGAAACAGTAATAATTTCACGCTTTTTTCATATACAAAAAAAAAAATGCTTCGTCATCATAGCATGTTATAAAATTTTTTTTGTTCTTCAGAGTACTCAACATTAGAGATGCATTTTTTCGTCATTAAAGAAGGAGAAAAACATGTTTGGTTCTTAATGCATTTCTGTGCCCCATCTACAGAGTATTAACTTCTTTATCGTTAAATCCTCAAGTACGAATCATTCATTAGTAGAACAAAACGGCTAGTAATTAGTTGAATGGTCATTACTGGTGTGTCTTATTTACTTTTTTGCTCTTATTATATCAAAGAGGTTGTATGATGAAACTTTGTTGAAATTTAACTACGTCAATATTAATATTCATAAATGCAATGAAATAAAAACTCATCAGTTTAGTGTCCATGAAGGTTTTAGACCAGTTTCCCCTCTGAATGTGAATGTGTTGTGAGTGCAGAGAATGCACACATTCTCAAAAGTAGAGTGTGCTATAGCTTTAGGAAATAGCTAAGTCCACATTTGTATTTTCAATCAGAACTTGTAAATCAAGGCTACAATATGCTTTTGTGCTGGATAATACAGTACCACCTAATTTTAAGAGGTGGTCTATAACAAATGGAGCATTTTTTGTTTCCTGTTCTGTCTCTGTGAACAACCAGAGGTACAATTCAAATAGAATATTTTACTTTGGAATATTACCAGATGTGTTGTTTCTGTATACTATTTTCTGGTTAATGTTAAATTGAAAATATTATTTGCTGTTCAATCACTCATCTGTGACGATTTGAATATTTGAAAAATTTTTCCCTTACAAAATTCTAATGATATTAGTTCTCATTTAGAAATAACTTAATAGTTTTCTTTGTTCAATTTCAAAGTAATATTATTTTCTCGAGACTCGAATTTTGCATAGAATGAAATGCTAGTATCTTTTTCATAGTACTCGTCTAACTTTTCAAACAATAACTTCAACAGCGTAACCACAAGATGCTGGAAATGTAGAGTATTCTATTAATAAAGCAATGAAAACTTTGAATTGCTTTTTTCATTTTCACAAAAAGAAGTCTTCTATTTTTGTATGGCCCACTCCTTCTGTATTGAAGTCGTGCCCGATTTTTTTTTCTGAATACGATTCAGCATTTTAAAATTACGATCAATTATTTGTAAATTACCCCCACCTACACTGTTTCAGCTCATGATTTCTTTGATTCATATCGCCTTACAGTATCAAAAAAGTTTATAGTATTAGTGTTCATTATTTTCTCTTGATAAACACTAAGATCGGTCTCTCTATCGTTTTTCTTCTTTCTACATATTGGAAGCTGAAGTAAAACATGGAATTGAAGCAAAGTTTTGGCTTGAACAATCAGTTTTTTTCAATTGGCAGAACGGACTGAGCTAGAAATGAAAAAAGTTAATAAATCCAGACAGAATCCATTTCTTAGAGCAGTTATATAAATTTTAGAAAATAATGAGGTAAAGAACTGCTGTAAATATCATTTATTCTTAAATTGAAACTTAACAAATAACAACAAAAAGAAAATTGCGGGACAATATCATGTTAACTTTCAAGAAAGTGTTCACCAATCATCTTGCCCTGCCTTCTTTCAGGACAGTAAAAACTTTTGAACTGATCTTCTTGTTATTAGTCAAGTTTTATTGAATATGCCACTATTGTTATTAAACAGATAATAAAAAATATGGTGTTTTACTGCCAATCTGTTCTGCAGTTTCACTGTTCATTGTATTTTGTCCGAACCCAATCGATTTCTACTTTCGAACATTGAACAATAGCAGGACTTATTAGACAATGTGAATTGCATACTTAAAACCAAATGAATCTATTAAACAACAATTAAATGATAAATCTAACAAATTAGTTTTCCAGAAAGCCAGCTGTTCAATATTTATTTAATATTCTCATTGATTTGTTTAAAAAATATTTACAAAAAAATTGTATTAATGTAATTTATACAAGAAAATAATTATAGGAAAACAGAGATATGTTTTAATAGAGTCGAATAACATGTTAATAATTATAGGAGAGGTTTTGTTGGACAGATCAACCCTCTCATTCAAAAAATTTTCCATAGACAATTTATGTTTGTCCTTTTGAAGACATTGTATTAGGTATAATTGCATTTCGTACTTTACAATAGCAAAATAATCGTTCTCGAACTATTTGACGAAAACGCCTTGAAGCAGCAAGAAATACATAAAAACTTCCCTTAATATATATTAAATAATATTAGCTTTAAAATGAAAATTTTTATTTAACTTACTCCAAAATTAAAAAGACCTAATAGACTTGTAGTAGTTAAAAATAAGAATTCTTGATCTATTTGTTCAGCAGTTTTGTTTCTATTAGATGTTGATAAAATATATGTATTATAAATTCCATAAGGTATTGCTGCCAGAACCACGAGAGTAAGTTGTAAGCAAACCATTTTAACTAATTGGCGATCAGCTCCGACTAACTGACCAGATATAGCTAATCGACGCATATTTTTATATGCAAGAAAACCAAATGTCACCAATGTTATTGTGGGAATGGCCAGTAAAACACAAAAAAAATGTATATATGACCAGTAAATCGATAATATTGTATTATTGATTATGCATTTATTTGACCTAAATATTTCAATATAATAAATCAATGCGACAGTTTCATATCTATTGAAGGAGTTGATTTCAATCATTCAAGTTTCATTCAGACGAACACAATGAAATGTTTAGCCTTTTCATACGAACTAAGATTACTGAAAAACTTATTTCAACTGATTTTAATCAATTATTCAATATTCTCTTTTTAGACTGTATCGATAAGCTGAATTCAACACATAAATTGAATTGAGAACTATGCAATATCTACTAATAATATAAAACGAAATATTTAAAAACTGAACTTGTACAAAAACAACTGCTCATTTAATTTAATGTATATAAGACAAGCTATCTGTATTAGATTAGGATCATGCACAAAAAAAATCAATCTCATGATCTAGGTTTACTATCTTGGAAAATGAATCTTTGTAAATCGTATCAGTATTTATTATATCTTTAATGTTTTCTAATACGTTAACAATATTGGAATATTTGATCACTTCAATACAAATGTTATCTGCATATGTGTGCCTTTGATTGACTTTTTTTTGCTGAAGTGCAAGAGCCCAATAGAAGATTATTATTTGACATGAAAATTCCTTATTTTTTTACTGTAAATTTAATTAAAATTATTTTTAAGTAGTATCAATCTGGATAAAGATTAGTTTTATTATTCTAAAGAATTACTTTATCTTCTTCTTGCGTATATGAAATTAAGTTTTTCATTTTTCTTATCCTCTCTAATGCTTATCTTACCAATCGTCTTGATGATAGGGAGACAGTTAAAAATTTAATTTATCAACAGTGATGACTGTCAACAAAATACAGAACACAATAGATTAAAAAAAGCTTCTTAGCGTAGCCCCTTTGGGGCTGAAATGTGGGACTCACATATCTCCTTTGGTTTCATTATACTAATGACAAAATACCCAATATTTAAAATTTCCAAAAGATAATAGTAGTTCTTTTCTAAAGATAATCGATTATTAGAAAATGCTATTTTTTTATCTCTCAATTTCGAACAGAATTTTTTTTCACGAAGTTGCCAAAGTCTGTAATGGGGGGTTGTCTGCAATGGTAGCCTACGTTGCTATGGTCTGTAATGGGGGGGGGGGGGGGGGGGTAATGGGGGGTATATCTGTAATGTTCTCTTTCTCGTTGCTATGTGTCTGTAATGGGGTGAGGGGGGAGCCGCCAACCTCGAACTGAAAACTTACACTCACTATTTTCTTCGAAAACATACGTGAGTTCCACAAAAATAAAAACATAAATAGTCATTATTTTTCATTATTACTATTTTAACTTACTGTATTTGATTGTAAATGAGAAATGGAATACTATGAACATGCCAAATAATAATAAATACAACAGCAATTCGATGAGCATTTTTAACATTACTGAATTGTCGTAAACGAGCATTACGTGATGTCACTAAATATTGATCAAAAGTTGCTAAAGATCCAAATGTTAATCCTAATGGAGCATAAGTTGCAATAATAAACTGACGAATTTTACACCAAATAATAGATGAACGTGTTAAATCACTATCAAAACCAACAATAAGTATTCTTGTGCTCATGGCACTTGTTAGATGAATAAAATTTGCAATAACCGCACATAATAGATAAAATGTTGATGGTGTTTGACGGTACATACTGACTGTTGAAAATATAAATATATTTAAAATATCACCCACTATTCCTAAACTTAATATTGGAATACCAAAACATCGTGCATAAAGGGCAGCTATATATCTCCATGATGTCATGTTAGAAATTTGATAAATTCGAAAAGTAATTTACATGAATGAATAGAGAAAAATTTTATATCTTGTTTAGGATTAAAATAATCTTCAATTAGATAAATTAAATGTCTTCGGAATCATTCTGAAATAAAATTGACAATACGAAGGTATTAGTTGACAATTCTATATCTTCTTATGATCTTTCTTTTTTTTTGTCTAAATTTATTTTAATACTGAATAGATTTCAAATTATCGGAAAAATCAAAAAATGATTCATTCACAAAGTTTTTTGAAATACATCATTAGAACGATTCAATTGTCTTTTCTTAGAGAAAAATCACTAACTTATTTATAATCTATTGACATTACTCTACTTTTGAAAGCGTAATTAATATTTTATACAATATTTAATATAGTTTTCAAGATTATTTCACATTTTTTTCTCGAACTTGCTCAAAATATACTTTCAAAATTAAATTAAAATAGAATATTTATTTCAAATTAAAAGAAAAATAAGACAGATAACAACATTTTCAATATAGGACAAAGGTATATATTGATTTTGAACTATTGATATACTTAACAGATTTTACGAACTGTTTTTTAAAAGTCAATATTCATCATAATAGTTTGATCGGATCATCAACGATTGCGAAGTCAAATTAGCTTTTATTAAAAATATTCAGAACTTTTCAAAATAGTCTCTTCGAAATACGAAGTTGAGCTGAGAAGTATTTGCATAATCAAATGGTAAACGGATGTTTAAGAACTTCCATTGAATTCATCTCTCCCATTGTAGTGATGTCGACAAAAGCTATTTTTTCCACCGAAAAAAGCTCCTATATGAGTTGCAGCTTGGAAAATTTTAGTAACTCTTAACATATCACCTTGATCGAAATAAAGGTTTTAAAATATTACTGCTATATAAGTAATTGATGTGCATGACATTCGAAAGACGATATAAATTCAATTTTCATACCAACATAGCAAAAGTTTGACAATCAACAAGTTGAAAGAATGCTATAATACTTTATAAAAACATAAGTAATGTATTTGTGAATTAAGATGCACTAGAACTACCAAAACAAGCATCATGATTATCGTCTTTCTAACTAAAAATATTCGGATTAATATTCAAAGAAGAGCATATCAGGAAAGAGTTGTATGAGTATCAAGAAATATTATAGCAATACTCAAATAAATCATGAATGTACTATCATACAGTGTCTTATATGACTTAGTCATATCATAAATGAGTAAAAAATGTGTTTAAGAAAGAAAACGTCACCACTAAAATATTGTTTAGATATAAGTTATCATCCAGTGAGAATCTATTAATATTGAATGTGCCTGTTTAGCATGAAATTTTTCTCTTGCTGCTGTGCGGTGTATCGTTAACTGGTTACTAAATATATTGAGTTGGATTCTTTCTAGATCCTCTCGTTAGGTTTTTTTTCAGCCTTTTTCATTTGAACAATACTAATGTGATGAATAATCAGCTATCAATTAAAAGTGATAGTATCTGAGGGTGGGAGTGGAGTATGGATCTTCTCCTGACCTGCATCTACCCCAACCTAGGGGTGTGAGTTCCTGTGTTTCGTTCATAGAAACATGAAAACCTATATCGACTTGCAAGAATAAGTACGTCCAAAAGTTTTAATATAATCAGAAACGCATGGAAATGAATCTTCAAGTGGAGTCGATTTCTTAGGAACTAAACATTAGGAAACGGGAAACCTTGATATTCCTACCCCATACCCACATTCTTTCCTATATATTTTAACAGAAATATGACAAAGTTCATTAATTGGACAATCACAGAAGAAAAAGAATTTTAAAAATTTTTGTTTCTTTACAGTCAGTTGTTTTCATTTGGAAACATCCGGCCGGAAAGGATTAACGAAACTACAATATAAAATAAGTTATTGCAAAACAAAGCAAGGAAAATATTGAACTCTGATACAATTAGTGTGTTTTTGTCCACAAGGAGATTTCATGGTTCGCAAGAAGACGTTGTACTAATAGAATTTCAATCATAGATCAGTATTGAGTAAACCGATAGTAATCATTCTACACGAACTAGTTTTCTTTTGTTATCACATTGACTATCAAATGCACAAAAAATTGCATCAAGTTTAAGAATAAGTTTCACACATTTCATGAAAATCTTTGTCATGAAGTTTTTTTTTCATCCAAAACTATAGACTTCTTAAAAGAGTTCTTGTTCAATTTAAAATCAACGGTTAAATTAAACTAACTGATAATACAAATAATGTATTCATTAGTTGGATCTAACTTAGAATAAATCAATGATTGCATGGAACCTGCTTTTACTATGAGGTTAACATTTACTAGAAATCACAAACTTTTTATAATGTTTTGATAATATCCATTTTCAAGAACTTTGTCTTCTTGAATTAGTCTGTTATTAAAGGATCATGTTGATAGGAACCGACGTTCGCCACTTAGATGATGAAATCCACAATCAATATTACTTTTTTTTTCTTTAGTTTATTGAAAAGAAATATTATTGATGATCATCATTCGTCATAAGTCTCCTTTTTTGTTACACAAATGAATAACAACAATAAAACGAATATGGGAAATCACACTTTGATCGGAAACTTGAAGAAAACACCGGTAAAAAAATACGTAGTTTCCTAGACTTAATCTGAAAGGAATCTACTCTAAATCAACGTTGTTCTATTCACGTCGATCAGGTAAACATGGTCAAAAATAAATCGCTTTGAAGTTTATTACAGATAATATGAGCTCATTTTAGTGGCAGAGCCATAAAAAATGTTAGAGTAGAAAGAAAGACTCAACTCCGGTTTGAACCCGAAAAGCAGATCTATTCTTCTTATATAATCTTGGAACATCATATATGTAAAGCTGACTAAGCCCTCTTCAACGACTAACCCATTGTTGTACTTCTGCTGCTGAAAAAACATTTTTTTAAATTGATAATTAGAGTGATCGTCCTTAGCGCCCTCTCTGAAAAGACCACTAACCGTTTCTAATTGAATGGCCAACCATTATTTTTGTTTTCGCATATTGCCAATGATTGATTGAAAATATGATTTTGAAATGCCATGATAAATTTTCGTAATTGTCGCTAATGTCGACATATACATTTCAATTGGACATCTAACAATG